ACGTCCTCTATTGCAGCATCCTCTCAGTCATCTGCATCATCTTCGTTTTCTTCCTCTTCCCCTACTTCTTCCTTTACTTCCTCATCATCAACCTCATCATCAACGCACTCATGGTCAGATCGGCCGTCACACAGGCCCTGTCGGCCGAGTATCTGTTGTTAGATCGATCGTTACAGATGCCTCTTCGGCGGAGACGTTCCCCGTCTCTGCAGCAGCCGCCAAGACAGCGGCCTCGTTTGTCGTTGAATGGCATGATCACCGCCCCCCCTGCAGGGGTTAGAGATCTGCTCTGACGACATGCTCGCAACCGTACGGAACGACATCGTCGCTTTCATTATACACTAGCGAGGAATAGTGCACATCGAGTCCGATGCCCGCAATGTGGCGATGATTGCTTCAGTGCTGCAGGCTTACGAGTGCACCAAACACGAGGTGCAGCTACTTGTGCAGCATTTGCACGACTAGCAGCCGCCCTGAGCACAAGTGAGGCTGATCAGCTTCCAATTCTCACATCTGGTCCACCCAGTTCTCACCCACCTGACCCGCCCCTCTCTCATCCACCTAGCCCCGCTCACTCCCCTGCCCCAAATGGCAATGACCCATCTCCTGATTACCTGATGGAGCCCCCGATTGAAGATCATCTCTCTCCAGAGCACATACCGGAGCCGATTGGTCAAGACCACAATGAGTCTCCGCCACCTGTGCAATCTGCAGAATCGAACGAGGATCCCCCTGCCATGAGCGGATCCCCCACGCAACAGCGAGGGCGCTGTGCGTACTATGCCATTAATGTATGTCGCTATGCCATTAATGTACGTCTCCTTGCTTACAATTGTAATCCTTATACTGTTTCTGATTTCGCAGACGTTGTTCGCTGGATAGAAGAAGAGCACCGTGCCGCCTGCCCAGAGGACGACCACGCTGCGCCTGCAGTGAATATAGAAGTCCTGGCTATGGCATTTATGGGTAGGCGACTGCAATTCCAGCCTGCTTCGTAAAACCACGTGCCAGGCAGGGATCTGAATATTTGGGCATATATCTTATATTGTCCAGGTCACTTCAGTGCTCTTACCTTTGCAGATAATTCATGGACACTATGGGACAATGGCGGTAGGGTGCACACAGTGGGAAATATTAACTCTTTCTATCACCAAATGCTGGAGGATCACTCAGCCTGGCTCGTCCATCAGGAACAGTATGTCGATAAGCACGTGCAAGCACTGCACCCCCCGGAGAGCAATCCGGCTGATTCTACCACAAACAGTGAAAGGACCTCTCCACAGGATGATGGTTGTGCCCTCCCGTTGTGTCGTCGCACAGGTGCAGTTCGGTTTGCATGTACACGACATAGCCTCTGCTCCGAACACTAAAAAGGGATGGTCGCTGATAGCCTCTCACACGAAAATTGTGATCCCCTGTCCTGTGCTCATCCCCCCACCCCCTGATTACTTGCCCAGCATGTCGTTGTGGCCTTGATGTGCCATGCTTACATAACTGTGCACATCAGCCTTCCATACTAATGACATGTCAGGAACATGCCATGTGTCATCAATGCTTCCAGAAAGCTGTCATGGAAAGTATGTGTCTTTACTGCGTGGACTATCCCCGGTGCCATCACCCTCCACATCCTCTCCTAGCATGTTCCACATGCGGTGTTGGTCATACATCTACGGCAACCACTGACGGATCTCCTTCTTGCCAGATGAACGACGGACACAGCAGTCTGAGGAGGAAAATAGACTTCTATATGAACCACCGGCAGAGCGATGTGCTCATAGTTTATCACCACCAGGGCGAGCTGTTGCGGATCAAATCCTGCAGCAGTTGAATGCCCTTGCGTTGGACCGATCCTCCCTGTCGTTGTCTGCCCATAGAGAAGGAATACACACTGAGGGCCCAAGAAAGATGCTCCATGCCGCTTTGTGATGACCCGCCGGAGATGCAACTAGCATGTGGTTCGCATGCCTTGTGCCGTGAGGATTATGAAGGGATAGTCCATGCGAGTTTTTGCTTCCATACGTTCGATGACAGTCAGTACTGTACTCATGTACGGCACCCGGGCATGTCATGTCCAATTCGTAGACAGGGGCTGGAACGGCAATGCCTCTATAATTGCGGTCGACGTGCCTCTGTGTTCCTAGCATGTACGAGCCACGTAGCCTGTGACATGTGTCTGCGCCGTGCCATTCGATGCAGCAACTGTGACTGCGAAAATTGGATGCGGTGCTTCCATAGCCCACACCCGAACTGGTCCTGTCCGGTATGTAAGGGTGGCCACTCGCCATAGGTTTTTTTTGCTAGAGTAGTCTGTTTCAGCGGTGAATATAAAATGGCCTTTACGAATCAGACCCCAAATGAATGCCCCAACAGCGAGGGGCCCTGTCGGCCACAACTTAATTTCACAAGGAGCATCCCAAAAGACAAGTTACCTGAGGCAAATGTCGCATCCAGAGTGAGATGAAAAGTCGTTTTGAAAAGTCACAGTCAGGTCCTAGATGAACAGGTACTGGATTCAATTTTATGACTGAGACAGGGTCATGTCTGTTCGGCAATAAGTCAAAGGTCACAGTCCCAGACGAGTCACAGTCCCAAGGGTCAAACCTGATTCAGATCAGGAGTCCAAAAGACAGGCCTGTCGGCCAAAGCAGCAGCAGACCATGGGAAAGGATACTGGGACACACACTTTGCAACAATAGGTACTGGGCTGGAGTCCCAGGCACTTGGAGGCTGGATGCAGGCCACGCCAGACCAGTCCAGCACTATAAAGGACTGGCCAGCCTCCCTTTTGGACAGAAACTCATTCGCATGAGAGTGTGGAAGTGCTGAGGCACTTGTGCGCCAGGATGCAATGAGCTGCGCTAGGCTTGTGAGCTGCGCTGAGGAAGGAAGTAAGGGAGAGAGTGAGCTGGCTAGAAGAATTGCGCCAGCAAGTGTAGTAGATGTTGTGGGTATAGCTAGAGTTAGACCAGTGAGTAGTATTCAGAGTAGATCCTCATATGAAAGGGAGTGTGCATGCTTGATGAGTGCTAGTAGACCAGAGCTATAGACATAGAGGGAGAGAGAGAAGAAAGCAGACAAGAGAGGGGAAGGAGTGAGCTATGGTGACACTTACCTGTTAAGCGCTGTTGTTGACGATTGGCAGCTGGCGCTGATGAGCGCCAGGCCTGGAACTCATGTTGATTGAAGAAGACTTGTAACTCTGTTCGGCGCTGTACATTTTGGACTCACGATGTCCTCTTTTAATTTGGTTATGATAATTGAGTTGAGCTTCCTGGCTCTCATTCATCTTCTATTGAGCTTTGTGTGAGACATCGCAATCTGTGAAATCTGTGTATATGCATGTGATCTGATGCGCTCCAGCAAATATTTAGAAATCTGTGAAGCTCGTCATACAACTCTCCCCTGCTCTTTGCATGTCATACTCTATCCTGCCCTCCACATATTTCTT